CAGCCTGGTGGCAGGAGTGAGGTCGCAGCTGCCCCCGTGACCCCATCCCCATCCGCTCTGCCCAGGTCGTGCACCTCGACAACATGAAGCACGAGGAGGAGATCCAGAAGCTCCCGCTGCAGACGCCGTACTATGACCTGGCAGCCACCGAGCCCTCCCCCTACACCGACAGGCTGGTAAGGAGGGCCAGGGGCCTGGCACTGCCCCCTCACCCCCACCCCAGGTCCCTGCACAGGATCTGGACCAATTCTTTACAAGGGATTAGTGCCTTCTCCCTCCATCCATCCACCAGGGAGGACCAGCAACCTTTTCCCCCACTGCACCAGGGCCTTGAGTGCCCTGACCTGAGCCACAGGGAATGTGGCATCATGATCACTTGGTCCTGGCTGTCTCCAGCATACTTTGGAGGACTCTGCCTGACCCTTTCCAACCAGATATCACCCCAGATTGGTGGCTCCTGGTAACATAGGACTCTCTGGCAACACCCAGTGTCCAGATTGCAAATTAAGACCAAATTGAGCCTGGAAGAAGCTAAACTGCTTGCCCCACACCCCAGCCCAAAGCAAGGATACAAAGGATCCTATCCCAAAGCTGATCACAGTGCCCCTCCTTGTGCATGTCCCTTGGGGAGGCTGGGACACTTGAGGGCCCTCCTGACTCTGCCCTGTGTTGTCACTGGGTGTGATCCCAGCCTCCAGTGCCCGCTTCCCGCCCCATGTCCCTGGGGCTCACTGCTATATCTCAGGCAGCTGGGCTGTTGAGCGGGTGAACTGCCCATCTCCCCGGGATCTCATCCATGCCGGAGGAGGGATTGCAGCTCTGGGTGGGGTAAGGAGCAGGGAGGAGGTGGTGGATGGAGGGTCTCGCAGGCCTGGGACCTGGCCAGTCCCGCTCGCTGTCAGCAATGGCTCCTGCATTGGGGGCGGAGGAGACTGACGTGACATGACTTGGCTGGAACGGCACGTTCCCAGCTTTGTAACTCGGTTCTGTGCCAGGCCAAGAGCACCGGCGTCTGGCTGGGAATCACAGACGGCTCCCTAAAGCCCTTGTTGGGTGCAGATTTGTTCAGCTTGAAACGGGAAGATGGAGATTAGGGGTCAAGGAGACAGGGAGGGAGTTCAGCAGCAGCAGGAGGGCTGTTTTCAAGGCCCAAGGCAGAGGTCAGGTGCACTGACCCTGCCAGCTCATTGTGAGGGAGGCCACGGCTGTCTTCCTGCAAGGCGGGTAGCGGAGGGCAGTGCACCAGCCCTGCTGCACGTGTGGTCCCTCAGGCTCCAAGCCCAGTCGTGCTTGCTCAACCCTGCCCGTCAGAGAGAGTCGGCCGCCCCGCTGTGCTGCCTGGCACTGGGGAGCCACAGGGGCTTGTTCACCCCTGGAAAGTTGGGCCCTGGCATCCGGGGCCCCGAGCGCTGTTCCACCCCAGAGGCAGCAACATTTCCATGGTGCCTCAGCACTTGGGGCTGGAAGACAAATGTTGAGGGCAGTGCGTGGCTCTGAAGATCCCGTCCTGGAGGAGTCTGACTGGTTTCCCGTACCCTCTGATCAGGGGTGTGGGTACCAGGGCCAAGCCACGCTCCACAAGAGCAGACTCCCAGCAAGGAGCTGGCTCATTTGGGGTAAATAGCAAGAGGGCGGCTAATTAAAAAAGCCATCAGCGGCGGAGTTAGCGATGTGAGGCTAGGCTCAACCGGTGGCCGTGTGGTAACCATAGGAACCGAGTTTGGGGCTCTCCAACCTGCTCGGAGCAGGCGCGTATTCAAGGCTGCTGTTTTCGTTGGTCCTTTGTTAGAGGTCCCAGCAAAGAGGCTCTTCGGATGCCCCCACAGCTGCCCTTGAAGGGGTCTCTGCAGGGTGGAGGCACGTGGGCAGGGGGCTATGGGGGTGGGATGCTTCCCCGAGGCATCCACAGCACCTGGGTCTGGGCTTCGGGCTGCTCCATCCCTCCTGGCCAGGGCTTCTCAGCCTGGTCTGGTGCATCCCTCCTCCAGGGTCTCAGGCTGGGCAGGGCGCAAGCAGCCTGGCTCCCTCCTGCATGTCAGTGAGCTCTGAGCCATCCTCCTGCCCTGCTCTCCCAGGCTGGTCTCGTGTCCTGTTCTTCCTGCTCCTCCAAGCCTATGCAGACCCCAGCCCTGGCCAGGGCAGCCGCGGAGCCTAACCCTCCTCCCCTAGACTCTGCAGTCTCAAGGGGAAGTGAGGAAGAGGACTGTCCTCCAGCCAGCCCTGCCCAACAGCCCTGGGTGTGATCCCAGCCTCCAGTGCCCGCTTTCCGCCCCATGTCCCTGGGGCTCACTGCTACATCTCAGGCAGCTGGGCTGTTGAGTGGGTGAATGTCAGGGGGAGTTCCCTGCCAGGCAGTGCCAGCCGTGCCGGCTCTGCCAAGGGCTCTGGGGCACACAGATAGCACCGGCTGGCCGTGTTATCATGGTTGGGATGGGCTTGTGACATGCTGCACTGCAGGAAGGAGCTGGCTCTGGCTTTTCCCCATCTCACCTAGGGACCTGCTGAGGTGGCCTCCTGCCCACCCCACTACCAGCCTTGCAGACACTTCCCTTAACCAAACTATGACCAGGTGTGGGGCCCGGTCTGCCAGACTCCTGCAGCCATGCTGCCAGCACCTCCACCTGGGGTAGGCAGAGGCAGGTGGGCTGAGTGGGGCACAGAGAAGCACTCAAAGCAGCTGCTTGCTCAAGCATAGACTTGCCAATAGCCCAGGCTTCCTTTGGGGAGTGGGGACCGCAGACACGTGGTGCTGGCGCTGTCTGTTGGAGGGCAGCAGGGGAGGCATTGGAGGGGAGAGAGGCTTGGCTTTTGGGGGGTCAGGAAAGGGTTTCCGATGCCGTAACTCAGTTGTACGAGGTCTTGTCCTTTGGGGTTAACACAATGTGTGCATTAAAGCCTCTGCTGGGGAAGGCAATTTCAGAGAGCCAGGAGGAGCTCAGAAGTGATTAGCGAGGAGAAGAGCGAGGGGGACCAGGCAAGAGAGAGGTACCGGCAGAGAGGGGAGAGAGGGCAGGAGACCGACTGGCAAAGAGAGGGGTGGAGGTGGAAAAGAGCAACCTGGCCTCACCCACAGCTACTAGGGATCTCTAGCACCCCATCTTATTTCCCAGAGCCCCTCTCTGGGCAGGAGGAGCAGTGCCCCCCAGGCAGGCCATCACCCTCCTTGTGCTTGGAGCTGCACAGGCTCCACTCCTGGCTCAGGACCTGGGCGCCTCCTCTCTTCTTGGGGTGTTTGGCATTTGGCTCTTGACAGCACCCGCTCAAATCAGCCCACATTGCAGAGAGGTTATTCCCAAGCCACAGTGCCTGGGGCTGCCCCAGCTCTGGGCTACAGCCCCAACATGAGGTCCTTCTCCCAGCTTCCCCAACAGTCGGTGGAGCCAGTGGGAACAGTGTGGGGGAAAAGAGCAACCTGTGTGTGCAATGTGTGTATGTGTGCAATGTGTGCTAGTGAGGGGTGGATGGAGGGGAGTAAGCCTAGCAGCAGAGGTGTGATGGGTGGGACAGGGGAAGGCTTCGTAGCTCAGACAGCGAGGCAATGCCTGCCAACTTGCAGGGCAGTTACCGGGGTGCTGGAGCCAGTGATTTACGCAGCATACTGGCTGGCGCCGACATTAGCACTTGTATACAAGCCCCAGTATTGATTTTGTAATAAATTTCTGCTCCTAAAAAGCAGCAGAGTGCAGGAGCGAGCCAGGGGCTGGCAGAGACTGGTAGCTCCCCAAGTGCTGCAGCACAGCCCTTCCCAGGGTCTTGGCCAGGCTGGGCAGGGGCAAGGTGGGCATGGGCACCCCGGCTGCAGCACAGCCCTTCCCAGGGTCTTGGCCGGGCTGGGCAGGGGCAAGGTGGGCAGGGGCACCCCATGGCTTGGTCTGCTTCTCTGCAGGGCTGGAGAGGTGGCCCAATGCAGAGCTGAATCTACACTGTGGAGCAGGGGTCTGGCTGCTGAGTGGGGCACCAGCATCACCCAGCTCCAAACCAAAGCTGTTCAGCTCCATCATCTTGATATCTTCCAATTGCTGCACGTCTTGGCCTGGGCCGAGGCAGGATGCAGCAGTGCCAGAGCAGGGCTCCTCCCTGGTGGCTCTGGCCTGGGTTTCAGCAGAGACCATCAACCTGGGTGCATCATGCTGATGGGGCTCTACTGCCCCAGGTCTGGAACCAGCACATCCAGGGCTCCCCTGGACCTCCATGTACCATGTACGTGTGCCACGTCACCTCTGATCTTCTGCCCGTGGAGGAGTGTGAGCACTGCCAGGGAAGGATGTAGGAATGGAGTGATGAACCTGATCAAACCCCAACCCTTCATCGCACCACCGGACGTGGCCTCCTTCCACCCGCACCCCCTGGGTTCTGCCTGCTGTCTTTGACTCTTTTGGCTTCACACACCTCTAACCTGCCAACTATGGTGTTTGACCCCCTGTAGCCACAAGCTACATGCTCCCTTGCATGGGGCATTTTCACAAGCCCCATGCTCTGTAAGCTGTGACAGTGCACACACATGTGCAAGCACACGCACAAGCCCTATACAATACACTTCAGCACACAAGGCAGGAGCACCCAGACCATACACCCCTCCAACAATGCACATGCATGCACCATCACGCCATGGGATGGAGGGACCCTGCTCCCCATGGACCAGCAAAGGAGACCCCCACCAAGTGCAGCACGACAGAGCACTTCCTCAATCAATCCCCCCTTCTGACTACAGGCATTAGCACAGCTCATTTCAGAGCCATAAAGCTCTGAAAATTGCCTTGCCACAGCTGGTAAATGGTTGAGAAGAGTTCAGGAAAAGAGGGGGAATGATTTCCAAATTAAATGCCTTCTGCATAAGATCCAGGTGAGGCGATGGATCAGGAAAGGGGCGGGCAGTGAGAAGGTCATCTGGAAGGAGCCAGCTGGTCCTTGCCGCTTCCAAAACTAAGCCCATATGAGGATGCTGAGATGCTCCCTTAGTGAGCAAGGGGCTGGGAGCCAGGACACCCCGGTCCTGTTCCTAGATCTGTCACTTGAGTGACAGCAAACAAATCTCCACCTCTCTGCATGCCTTTCTTTCCCCCTTCCATAAAATGGGGTCTGTAAAACTGAGCAGTCTCCCAGGAAGCTTAATTCGTTAATGATGGTGAGGTATGTTGAGATACTTGGATGGAAGCTAGCTATCAGAGACGAGGGGTGCATCCCTCCCTCCGTGCCGTTCTTGGATACAAGCCCTCCGAAAATGCTGCTAGAAGGGCTACCCTTCAAGATGCTGTCATCAGAGCGCGGGGCTTTTAGCATCTATTAAACATTATTTACAAAGCTTGAATCAGACAGGATTGGAAATATGGAACAGAAAGAAAAAGAGCTCGTGGGTTACAATCAACCTTGCCGCAAAGGGAGAAACACAGCGCGCTGCGATTTGCTTGTGCTATTAGGGAGATTTTGCGAGGGAACAAAATAAATATAAGCTGAAGGCAATTTAAAAGCCCCCATTCACAGAAACACCCTAATTTCTCCAAACTCCCAAGCAATTTGGAACTCGTCTTAGTGACGTGCCAGAGACAATATCCATTATCTGAGCATTAGCCGGGTGAGGTGCTCGGCAAACATATCGGAGTGGCGTTCCTCCCTCCGGAGAGACGGCAGTCTAGCAAGTCCCA